TTTGATCTATTTAATAAAAGGAATACTCTTTGAAATTAGCAGAAATCAGAACAAAGAGTGAGAATAATGAATAGTTGGGGAGTAGCTTTCAATTTTCTAAGCACTAATTGGAATGGGAGACAATAGTAATGAGCCATTACTTAGTTTTATAGGTGGTTGGGGAGCATTTTAGCTCAATCATACTCATCATATTAAAGTTTAGCAAAATAAATTTGGTTGTTATGGGTACCATTCATTATCACTGTGTGATAAACCCTTTGTTAATTAGTATAATAAACATCTAAAATATATGCAACATTGAAATGATAACCCTAAGAAAATGCCTTTTCTACTTCATGATGGCTTGGATGAGCAAGAAAAGAAATCATGAAAAATATTTAGAATATGATACCACAAATATTTATAAAATTTCATTAGCAATATATATATATACTTCTCTAATTAGGGTTACAAATGAACCGGTACGTTCAAAAAGTTATTCATGGCTCGACTCAATTATAGCTTATTAATAATTGTTTGATTAACTAAATAAAAATCTTGAAATTTTTTTATATAATCAATTAATTAATAAAAAAGTTTGAACAATTAGGTGCTTGATTCATTTATGATCAAGAATAGTATTATATAGAGTTCACAATAATTTTATTTAGAAGCTTGATTAAGTCTTGATAATACTCTCACTTAAGATCAAATAATTTTCTTCTTTATAATTAATATAATTGTTTAAGACTATGATGAATTCATTTAATACTTAAAATATTTGATTATTGATTTATTTTATCTATTTAAATTTTTTGAATGAATTCTACTTTAATACATTTCTAAATGTACAATGTCACTTAGTTCAGCCTGCTAATATACTAACCTCATTCAATTAGCTAAAAACCTACTCGATAGTTTTGCTCGTCAATCGGCTCCATGAGGCTTATTTTATTAGCTAAGAATGAAACTCATTAATTGTCTCATAATGATCATATCTTTGTGCATTCAAGCTGCTTATTAGCAGCTCGATAATTGTACTAATCTAAGCTGAATTTGAACGATCTTAAATCAAACTCAAATAATCATAATTTGATCGTAGTTTTGACAAACGAGCTCAAGTTCAAACTCAAACAAACTCCTACTAAAATCAATTATGCTTATTTTTAACCCTACCTCCAAAACACACATCACATCACCCTAAGAAATATTTTGCTAAGCCTTCTCTACTAAGTGGGATGAGAACTTATCCATGATGTACATAACATATTCATTTATTTGTAAGGTAAAGAAAGGTCTAGTAGGCTATAGTTGATGTAGGGTTAATCAGTATATTAGTTATTAAAGCCACTTTAGTGGCTCTATCCTTAAAGACAAAAGGCTTAAAGCTGTAACTTGTCCTTTCTTCTATTTATGAGCGCATGCTTGAGTTGTATTTTTATTATGTTTAGCTTTGCCTGTGCAGCCAGCCTAGCTTGTTTGATTGCCTGTCTAAGGCAATGAACTTGTATTTTGCTTTAGGGGTGTGCACAAGTCATCTCTAATTTGAGCTTCATTAATTAATCTAGTTCGAGCTCAAATTTTATTCTACGAGTTTGAGCCGGCTGAGCCCACTCGTTTACTATGAAATAGAGAAAACAATTATAATTCAACTAATTTTTTTAATAAAATTATAAAATTTAATAAAATAAAAAATAATAATAAAGAATCACTTTATATAAAAAAGAGATTGTATGTGTCGGTCCATTTCTCATGATATGGACCATGAGGGAATTTTATGTTATTAGGATTAATGGTATGTATGATAAATAGTTATGGTGATGATGATAGATGTGGCTATGATGATATGTATGAAAATCATATCGGTTGGTTTGAAATTAGAAAGATGTTTATGTATTTTGATCTCTCTCTCTCTCTCTCTCTCATAAGTAAGGAGTCTTTAGTAATATTAAATAATTGAATGAATATAGTTATGTCTTCATTTTCATTTAATTTAATTTCTTTCAAAAAAATATTTAACAATATCAAAATATGTTTTAGAAAGTAGTAAAAAAGTTGTCCCAAATAAGACCAAAAACCTACTAAAAATATGCATTAGCAACCTTATTAAAAGCTTATGAATTTAGTAGTAAAGAGATTGCCAACGAATAATTAAATATGTGTCATTTTAGAATATAAATTTATTTTCAATATTTTATTAATAAAAAATAAAGCATGTATTTAATTAGAAATGAATAGATGTGAAGGGCATAAAATTATATGGGCAACTATTAAACATTTATGTTTCATCTGGGACGGTTTTTTTATTATTTTCTAAAATTTTTTAGTACAAAAATTTCTCGAAAAATAATTTTTTTACATTAAAAAGCTGCTTTAAAAAGTTATCTCAAATAAAATCTTAATTTCAAGATGATCATATCCTAAAAAATAATAAATTCAAATTAATGCAGTCTTTATTGGCCACAAAATTAAAAAATTAATTAAATATCAAAGCAATGCAATAAAGGATTTGTCATTTTCTTAGGAGAATAAAAAATTTAATTAAATATCACATAAATTCGAACAGTTACCTAAATATCAGTGTCGTCTTCAAGCCGCTGATGGCGCCTTTGTTTTACTATTATTATTATATATATAATAGCATTGTCTACACATATGATTGTTTGGATAATTTAAATAAGCATTTAATTTAAAAAAATATTTCTATGATAGAGGAAAATTTGGGTAAGGCTGCTTATAGATTACTCTATTTTTAATTGAAAAATGGATAAGATAATAATAAAAAAAAAAACATTTAAATTCATGATGGATTTGCCAAATTTGTAAAGAAAAATGACAAGTTTTGCTATGGTTTCAATATAAGGGAAATTTGATCTTATATACTATCTAAAATTGATCGGATACGATCGTTGATTTTTTCTTAAAGAAATATAGTAGAAAATTTGTTCGGATAAAACGATCGTAGACGATGAAATCAATTTAATACTGGCTTCAACAGAGATGGATAAGCATTTTTTTTAGGATGGTATATCGTATGATCGAAGCAAGTTTGATTATTTTGGTAGAGTTTTAATACTGACCTTGATATAGATCGAAGAGAAATATTGTTGAACCATGTTCGAATATATCTAAACATATCTTTGAACCATTTTTTAACATCTCGAACATATCTCGAACCATACTTGAACATTGTTTGAACATGAATTGAGATAGGCTCGAATATTATTCGAATCCATTGTTCAAATATTATTCAAATAACTTTGAACATGATTGGTACTAAATATTCGTAAGAGATTGAAACAATCAAATATATTTGAGATCAATAGACATGAATCATAACACATTTGCATCTCGAATTTCAGATCAAAAGATCATTGACAAGCTCAACCATATCATTGCAATAAATAGAAAAACCATTTTGGGAAAGAATATTAATTAAAAAAAAAAAAAAACTTGATTGAGAGCATACGCTAATATATATATATCCAAAAATAAGAACACCCAAATTGTTCCAGATGAAGTAAAAAAGTATTATCGTACTATCTACAATTGTGAAGCTAAAGAGTGGGCATCGAAAGAAGAATAGAAGAGCTTAAGAGAAGAATGATACAGTGCAACATAAAATATCATAATTCTTAAAGCAAAATCCCTAATTAATTATGCATGATGTACCACTTGTCATAATGATGGTATGTTGCGTACAAAAAATTGAAACTACTAAATTGGCATACCCAATAATCATATTCGAACCTTATTTGAATCACGTCTAAACTTGGTTCAGACCTTGTTCGATCAACATCCAAACCTTATTCAAATTAGGATCATGCGAACCATTTTGAGCCTAATTCCAGCAATGAGTTTTAACAAGTTAGAACCAAATTCATATTTAGACTTCTTTTGGGACGAATTCCTTAATGTTTTTTTAACTAAAAAATTGCTTTAATATGCAATAAGAAAGCCATCCCAAATGAAGCCTTAATTCTCACAAGATCCAGACATTATTCAAATCACATTTGAACTAAGGCTTCATTTGGGACAGACTATTTTTTCCTTATTTAAAAAAGAAAATTAGATTAAAGCAAGAGAAGTTTAATCCAAAATAAACTATCCAGCATATTTCACCAATCAAATAAATAACGAAAATATTTAATCAATTTTAAATATTATGAAACATAAAATCCTATTTTTCGATTATAAGGACATTACTAAAATATACAAAAAATATTTTTACCAAACATTTGATGATTTATAATAATTTTTAAAAAAACATCAGGTAATATACTAACATTTATTTTAGAGCATGACTCGAATAAAAGAAAATTTAAGCACCATTGTTGGAAGGACTCCTGCTGGCACTCTCATATCACAATTGACAAAACCTATAAGGAGCCAGCCTTTTGTCTTAAACTTGAATAGAGTTTGACTTCAAAAAAAGCAGCAGATTATTAAATTTAATCCATAATTAAAGTTCTGATTAATTATTGATTAGTATGAAATTCCCTATTTAAAGGAAATTCAAAGAAGGGAGATTGAAAAATAATACATAATTATTTGACAAATTCTCTACCAAATACTTTTCTACTAACATAAATATTAGGAATTGAAGTGGACCTTTCCAAAGTCAACTACAATCCCTGCTCTTTAATTCAATGAGCAAATCCTTTGTTTGAAAATATTTTTAAAATGAATAAGTAAGCGAATTAGCTCACGAGCCAATTCGAATTCAACTCATTAACAAGCTCACATCGAGCTTGGGCAATCAAGCCAAGCTCAAACCTAAAAATTTGCGAACAGGCTCAAATTTGAGCTCAATAGGAATTAAACGAGCTTAGCTCGATTAGGCCGAAACTACTCGAGTAGACCCATTAAAGAGTACTAATAGCTGCCCAAATCATGCCTTAAAGGCATCTAATCAGATGAAATAATAGATAAAGTGCGAATAGCAAAGACAATAATTTTCAAAGCATATAATCTATAGAAATCAAACAATTTTTTTCTGAGAATTAAGGTGAAGAAAGATGGAATCAAACAAAACCTAAAATTTAAGATCCTAATGGAGATGGGAAATCAAGTTGACCAGAAACAGTTCAGATCTGGAATGGTTCAGACATTTACGAAAAAGATGAAAAAAATATACAGAAAAAAACACTATATTCTACATAGTCAAACAGTAACAAATTTAAAGGTTTTCAAAAATAGTTGAAGAAGAAATGTTTCACAGCAGGTCAGTCCAAATGTACGCAAACAATGACTGAATGGCTGCTAAAGTTTACATTGCCAGGAATAAAATATATGCTGGTGAAGAGAGAATTTCTCTCTTTTTACGCCTCTAGTTTGAAAAGATAAGCTGAAGTTATAAAATTATACTTGTGAACCATGAGGGGTTCTGCTCTGGTACATCATCTTGTTGCCTTCAAGTGATGTGGAGGGAGCCCTCCTTCCCTTCTCAGAATATATGTACAATGTCATAAGCGAATCTGACAGTGTCAAGGTTTCCAAATTTGCAGGAATGTAAAATGGAGAATTTCAAATATGAAATTTCAATGCTGATATGGAAACTGGAAAATATTAGTTATGTAACTGACACTGTGCAAGTCAGAGAAGGACAACAAATTTTTCTTTACTAAATGTATTGAAACAGCCTTCTAACTGCTTTTCAAAGCAATTTTTTAGTACAAAAAATTATTGAACTAAGAAATTTTTATACTAAAAAGCTGTTTTAAAAACAACAATAACAACAACAACATCAAGCATTTATCCACTACATGGGGTCGGCTACATGAATCCTTTTTCTCCATTTTGGTTTGTTAAGAGTCAAATTCTCATTTAAATCTAAAAAAGAAAGGTCATTTCTAATATTTTATAATCAAGTCTTTTTAGACATACCTCAACCTTTCTTAATATAAGTCAAATCTAATCCATCTATTTTTCTAATTGGGTCTTTAGAAGGCCGCCGTTTTATGTTACCAAACCATTTAAGGCGATTCTCTTTAATCTTATCTTCCACTAGAGCTACTCCAACCTTTTCACGTATATGCTCATTTCGTATCCTGCCTCTAAACGTAAAGCCACTCATCCACCAAAGCATCCTCATCTCTGCAACACTTAAAATTATGTTTCTTTTTTAATGGCCAACATTCTGCACCATAAAGCATTGCAAGTCTCACCACCATCTTATAGAATTTCCCTTAAGGTTGAGGGGGACTTTTCTATCACGCAACAAGTCAGATGCATTACTCCACTTCAACCATTCAACTTGAATTATGCTAATAATATCTCCATCTATTTCACCATTACTCTTCACAATAGATCGAAGATATCTAAAACATGTACTCTTATTAATGAGTTGATCGTCCAAAGTCACAAATCCTCCACTATATCTATTAATACTAAAATTTCACTCTATTTATTCAGTTTTAGATATACTCAAATGAAAACCTTTAGACTCTAAGATTGACCTCCATAATTCAAGTTTAGCTTCAACTCCCTCTCTAGTCTTATCAACAAGAAGAATATCATCAGCAAAAAGCATACACCAGGATACAACCTCTTGCAAATGTCTAGTGAGAACATCCATGACTAAAGCAAAAAGATATGAGCTTAAGGATAAATAAAAAAATAATAATATGAGCTTAAGGTTGATCCCTGATGTAATCCAACAAAAATAGTAAAATATTTGGTCGAACCACCTTGTGTTTGAAAACAAGTAATATCACCAACATACATATCCCTAATGACTTGAATATAAGCATTATCAACTCCTTTCTTTCTAGAACTTTCCATAGCACTTCTCTTGGAACTTTATCATATGCTTTCTCTAAATCAATAAATATCATATGAAGACCCTCCTTATTCTCTCTATACTTCTCCATCAAACCTCTTAATAAATGTATAACTTCCATAGTAGACCTATCCGGCATGAATTCCAAATTGATTTTGAGAAAAATTAGTATCACGTCATAACCTATGCTCCATAACTCTCTCCCAAAGTTTTAGAGTATGACACATTAACTTAATTCCTCTATAATTCGCCCAATCTTGCGCATCACCTTTATTCTTTAAAAAAAATATGAATCAACACACTCGTTCTCCACTCATCTGACATATTTTTAGTCTTCAAAATAATATTAAAATGCTTAGTAAGCCAAGAAATTCCTTCATCTCCTAAACATTTCCACACCTCTATAGGAATATCATCAGGTCCAACAGCTTTTCCACACTTCATTTTTTTTAAAGCCTCTATAACTTCAGTTTTACTAATACATTGGTAAAAACAAAAATCTTTATTTTCATTTAAGATGTTAAGGTCATTAAAGACAATCGTATTCTCAAAATCTTCATTCAAAAGTTTAGCAAAATATCTCATCCACCTTGGTTAAATATCTTATTCAAATAAAAGTAACTTTTTCTTTTCATCCTTAATGCACTTCACTTACACTAAATCCTTACTACTTCTATCTCTTTATTTGGCTAACTTATACATATATCTTTCACCCTCATTAGTATCTAATTTATTATATAAATCATTAAAAGTTAAAATCTTTGCATGGCATAGTGCTTTCTTAGACTTCTTACAGGCCTCTTTATATATTTTCCAATTATCAGAATTTTTATCTCTAAATTAATTTTTATAATAAATTTTCTTATTTTTTTATCTTTTCATGCACATTTTGATTACACCACCAATTGTTTTACTTACTATTATGAGCTTTTCTCTTTGATACTCCAAGCACATTTTTGCAACATTCTTAATATCACTAGTTACATTTTTCATATAACATTAGCTTCCTCATACACAGACAAAATCTTAAGATCTAGAATCTTACTCTCAAAATTTTTCTTATTAATATTCTTTAAAAGCACCCATCTAATCCTAGAACAATGTTTTACTTTATGTTTTATATTCTATCACTTCATCTTAATAGCCAAAACTATAAACAAATTTTGGGTATAAAAACTTTCACTCAGAATAACTTTACAATCTAAACAATCTCTTTTTTTCTTATAAGAAGGTAATCCATCTAAATTTTACTATATCTATTCCTATAAGTGATTAGATTTTATATCTTTTTTTAAATAAGAAATTAGCAATTGCAAAGTCATAAGCTATAGAAAAATCTAATATGGCCTTACCACCTTCATTAGTCACTCCAAACTCATAGCCACCATGAATATTTTTAAAATCATCTACCTCTCTAAGAACAAAGTCTATTTAAATCTACTCCAATAAAAACTTTTTCTTCAAGAGGTATCTTTTGTATTAATTCTTCTAAATCATTCTAAAATTTTAATTTTGAACATATATCCAAATCTATTTGAGAAACATAAACACTTATAATATTAATAATCATAGCATCAACAACAATCTTTACATCTATAATTCTCTTGAATTCTATTGTTTTTTATAAAAAGCTACTTTAGAAAGCACTAAGTAAATTATCTCAAACGAAGTCTTAATTTGAGATAAGTGCAATATATGATTAATCAATCAAATCGTGTATTGTATTCATCTGAAGAACAAATCTTAACAGCTTTAAAATTCATTCTACCCAAATTTTTTATGGAACATTCAGATCTAAATTTTCTCCGTAAATATATATATTTGGGGATAACAAATTATAAATAAGAGAAATGGTCCCAACAATTAGGAAAATCAGAGAAACAATTTAAATAGAGCTGTTGCAAAATGTGAATAAGAAAAAACTCAGCACTCACAATTTATGATGATTTTTCAAAGATCACTCAGCTAAAACAACTAGGCTCTGTTTGGATGCTGGGAATTGGAGAGTAATGAAATAGAATGAAGTTGAAAATGTTCAATCAATGGTTGTTGATTCATAATCAAATTATAAATTACTTGTATTTCCATCCAATCCAAACAGAACCCTAGCGAGCAGGCAAAATATTTATAAGCAAATTAGAAATTCTGATCAACAATATTCACATACCCAATGTAAAATGTTGGATCAATGTAACCATGGCGGTGAAACATTAAAAGGATACGTCCAAAACAGCACGAAGGACTGCAAATACATAAGAATATAGAGTTAATGGAAATGATGATAGAAGAAAAGCATAACTACTTGGTTATTCGCAGAAAGTAATAAAAGAATAAAACATTAAACAAAAACTATAATGGCTTTGAGATTAAAAAAAATTGCCAACTCGACCGAGTCCAGAAGAAGGCTATGAATATGGACCTCAGTAAAACCTTATTTATATGTTCTGAGAAAAAAATTAGGCACAAAAACACAGTTCTTCTATCAAAGCAGTCTAAACTGAATTCGTTTTTAAAATTGCCTCCTTAAGGCATGAATTTCAACTTCAAGCATGACTTGAAAAGGGTTTCATAGTGGGCCAAGAAGTGCTTGCACTCTACACAAAATAATAGATTGAATTAATGTCCTGAACCCTAAACTGCATCAGGAAGCTACATGTTACAGCTAATACCTATTGAGCTTGATGGAGGATTTGGAAATTTGAAGAGAATTTTTACTAGATTTCTATCATTTTATTGCAAGGGACCGTTTCAAAAAATAAAGCAACCTTCAGTCTCACCACTAAAAAGACATCTGAATAGGATATTTGTAAGGTTATTCAGTACTAGACTATTAGTAGGATGGCTCTCCAGAAAATTCTGAAAACCGGACACTTCTATTTTAGAAAAACAAAAAGAGCAAATAAATTTCTTATATTGACGTGATACAATCTAGTGACATGGATGTCACGCTGCTGACTAGCACGTCAGGCGGGATTGGATTTTGAATGGGATTACATGTGCAACTGATACATAACCTTGATTCAACAGTGGATGGCATGACCATGCAAAAAATTTAAAAAAAAAAATGTGTGAAATGGAGAAAGATAAAGCACTCACATTTTCCTAATAACTAAAAATTTTCAAAAGTTACAAATAAAAACTTAATGAGGAACTCTTCAAAACTTAAAATATTGGCATGACATATTCAACACTAGATTCAAAAAATATATATTCAAATTGCACAATATATAAGAATTCGAACTTAAAAAAAAAAAAAACCGGTGATACAAAAAATATTTTAGATACTACTCCTCAGAAAAGAACAAAATAATGCCATAACTCATTACACGTGCATAAGTCAACATAAATTTGATTTTTTTTTTTTTTTTGCATAAATATAAAAAGGTTAAACATAAATTTGATATATAGCAAAATATCAATATTTAAAAATATAGCACAAGATCATTAACCTGATGAAGTACTCTACAACAACAGCAACAACAACATCAAGCCTTTATCCCACTACGTGGGGTCGGCTACATGAATCCTTTTTCTCCATTATGTCCTATTAAAAGTCAAATTCTCGTTTAAATCTAATAAAGAAAGGTCATTCCTAATATTTTCTAACCAAGTCTTTTTAGGTCTACCCCTACCTTTCTTAACATAAGTCAAATCTAATACCTCTTGATGCATGCAAAGGGGGGGTCAAAACAAGATGAAAATTTGTTTTGACCCTTGGGCTTCTGGTGTTCTCGGGTGAGTCTTGGTTGCTTGGTATTGAGCTCAAAATGCCAGAATTTTACTTAGTTTTAGCTCATAAATGTTTGAGCTAAAGTTTAGCTCAATGATTGGGGGATTTATTGCACTTCCTAGCTCATTAATCCAAAAAGGTTTGGTATTAAGTCTTGAATTCATTTTGTAGTGAACTTTGCCTCTTCTCCTCCCCTTTGTCTTCTCGTTTTCCTGTGCTGGCTGTTTTCCGTGCCTTGCCCCTTGGGTTTCCATGGCTGGCTGCTTGATTCCCTGTGCTGGTTGTTTTCCGTGCCTTGCCCCTTGGGTTCCCGTGGCTGGCTGCGTGTTTCTCTGTGCTGGTTGTTTTTCTCGTGCCTTGCCCCTTGGTTTCCCGTGGCTGCTGCTTGGTTCCTGCGGCTTTTCTTCTCTGTTCTGTTGTACGGTTTGGGGGCAGCTGAGTTATGGCTGTTGGCCTTTCATTTCCCTAAATCTAATAGGTTTATTTATTGCTGTTTGGGGGGGAATTCCATGGGATTTTTCATGTTTTCTGTGCAATTTTCCTGCAGCTGTTTGCAGTCTTTTGGCCTTCTATATTCCTTGAATTTAATGGGTTTAATGGGAGATATTTGGGCTGTTTGGCTGCCCTCTTTGTGCCTATAAATAGAAATGTTTGTGGCTGATTTAGGTTGGTTGAAAATGTGATTTTTGGAGTAAGAAAACTTGAGGGTTTTATTGGAAAAGCTTGAGAGCTTTGTCCACTTCTTCTTCTTCTCTATCTTGGGATAACTTTCGAGTTACTCCAATTCTTCGTCTTGGCTTCTAATCCCTTTCTTCTCTACGCAAGTGCTACCTCACCTGTATCTTTCTTCTCAACGATTGGCAAGCTCATTTAGGTTTGTTATGTCCAAGATTGTAAGGTGTTTATATCCAAGTTTGTAAGTGTTTGTGTCCAAGTTTGTAAGTGTCTTCTTATTATGATATAAAAGTGTCTCTTTTTTGGTATTTTGTATCTTTTCTTTAATTTGTGTAATTTCTATTTCCTAGCAAGGATATTATTTTGCTTGCAAAAATTTAGGGGCCCTCTCTCAAATTTTTGCTTGCATCACCTCTACTCTCCTAACTGGGTCATCGGAAGGCCGCCTTTTTATGTGACCAAACCATCTAAGGCGACTCTCTCTAATCTTATCTTCTACTGGAACTACTCCAACCTATTCACGTATATGCTCATTTCGTATCCTATCTCTAAGGGTAAAGCCACTCTCCACCTGAGCATCCCCATCTCTGCCACACTTAACTTAGTATTATGCTTCTCTTTTAATGGCCAACATTCGGCACCATAAAGCATTGCAGGCCTCACTACCATCTTATAGAATTTTCCCTTAAGTTTGAGGGGTACATTTCTATCACATAACAAGCCCGATGCATTCCTCCACTTCAACCATCCAACTTGAATTCTGCTAATAATATCCCCATCTATTTCACCATCACTCTGAACAATAGATCCAAGATATCTAAAACGTGTACTCTTATTAATGACTTGATCGCCCAAAGTCATAATCCCCTCACTAGGTCTACTACTACTAAAATTACACTCCATATATTCCGTTTTAGATCTACTCAAGCGAAAACCTTTAGACTCTAAGGTTGACCTCCATAATTCAAGTTTACCTTCAACTCACTCTCTAGTCTTATCAACAAGAAGAATATCATCAGCAAAAAGCATACACCAAGGTACATCCTCTTGCAAATGTCTAGTGAGAACATCCATGACTAAAACAAAAAGATACGGGCTTAAGGCTGATCCTTGATGTAACCCAACCAAAATAGAGAAATACTTGGTCAATCCACCTTGTGTTTGAACACAAGTAATAGCTCCTGCATACATATCTTTAATGATTTGAATATAAGCATTATTGACTCCTTTCTTATCAAGAACTCTCCAAATATGATATGGTCCACCAAGACCAATAAAAACACCTGGAAAATTTATCAACTCGTCCTCCGAGCAGACCACAATATCGTCATCAAAGACGAAAACAACCACATTATTTGGGAAAATGAATTATCAATATTCATTCCTTAGAACATGATATCCACGTTATAGTCTCATATTACAAGAATAACATCGCAAATCCTGCGATTCTTTTGTTTCTGTCTCCAATGCAAGCTTTCATTGTTACGTTGATGTTTGAATAAAATAACATTTGATAAACTTTGCCATCATGCATGCATGCATGATTTAACAATCAAGCACAATGATAAAAGGGAGCCCTCCAAAATTTTTTTTATTGTTTTATTTAAAAAATTTAAATAAGTAATTTATAAAAAAATATATATTTAATCTGATATGTATATTATATTATATATTAAATTTATTCATCGTCTTCATAATTAATCATAGAGTCAAATTAAAAGACTTTTGTTTTATATATAAATTAAATAAATAATAAATGTAATTCATTTTTCATTTCGATATGTATTCCTCTATCAATATTAAAATTAAATAAGAAAAAAAAATTTAATATTGTGACAGAAGGTGATGAAAAACCTTTCATAGATGTTTTTATAAAAACTTAACTTAAAAAAAAAAAAAAA